GATCACTTGTATATTAAACGTTTTTTATTCTTTAAGCTGATGAATTTTGAACGTTATAATGATTGAAAAAAAGCCAATTTTTAAACCTTTCTCCAATGATTTAAAAACATGCATTTTTGCACTTTATTAGTTGATAATCTTTTTAAGATTATTTTTTTTAATTTTTTTTTATTTCATTGCATAGAGGGAGCAATATTAGAACTTAGCTTATTAACATAGATCAGAATATTCAACATATAATTCAAATATCAATTTAACTAAACCTTTTAAAACACATTTTAGCACGTCACAATCTGGAAAGTGTAAAAGCACAAATTCCCGACTGGTCACAAAAAGGTGAGCTTTTCAATAACCATCAAGAAGCGTTAACAAAAAAGCTGAAGAGCATGGTCAATAGAATATGTCAATTTTAAAGAATTATCAAACAATATTTGTCACTTTTAAACTTCTATTTTGAGCCAAGCATAAAATATTGCTTATTATCAATATTTCTAACACAACACAGAACACAAGAAAAATGTATGTGATATGTATAAACAAAATATGATTGATTTTTTTAAGCACGGGAATGTTTCTATGTACATGTATCACAATGAGAGAATTCTTTAGATAGAACCTGTTTCTTCAAGAAGTCAGCAAATACTACATATCTTATATTTTCTGGATATAATAGGCTGCTCCTTTTAAACAAACAATTTGATTCACATAGGTGTACCCAATGAGGGTAAAAACTTTAAGTTCAATTTAAAAGGTTTAAATTACAATGGATTATTAAAACAAGATTTTATTGCAAAAACTTTTGGATGAAATATGACAGTTTAAAGCTTCAATCTTTATCTTGTAGAATGAGTTCTGAAAAAACAAAATAATAATTTACAGTGACAAGGTACAAGAAAATACATTTAGTTTGACAGAGGCCTATATTTATCGAATCATTTAAAGGAGTGGTATCGATATGGAGAACTTTTTGAACACATGTTTCTCTTAAACCAGTCATAAAAAAATCTAAAAATTTTACACATCATCAATTTAATGGTCATCTTTTGAATGGTAACAATATGATTTGAAAAATATATACTGTAAAACGGGTATTGTTAGCGAGGGGTAATTGTTAGCGATTGTTAGCGATCGCTATAGTTTCGCTAAAAATTCAATTCGCTAAAATAAACCGGGGTTAAAATAAACCGGGCGCTAAAATTTGCAAATTCCCGGGAAACTACGTGTTTAAGGAGCTTTTCGTTCAGTGCTCGACTTCCAGTTTGTAATTTGAAAAAGGTAAATATTTTTAAATCGTATGTTTCTTTCAATGTCTGAAGGATAAATAGCCATCCATCCAGTTTGGACCAATACCATGTGCGTTAGAAGTCTTACATTTTGATAATTCCTCTGTCATGTCCGTTATTCATTCTTCTGCCATAAATGATGAAATTTCTAATGCATTTCGCTAATTTGATTTTTTAAAGATTAATCTTCATTTCGCTTAAATTTCCCGCGCTAAAACCCCCTAAAATTGAAAAATCGCTAAAATTTCCCGGTGTCAAATTTACCCGTTTTACAGTATATACTTTCATCTATATTGTTTAAGAAAATACATCAAACACTTGTTTTGTTCTTGGTATCCCGTTTCCAGAGTGAAATGAAACATCTTTCCGAAACCTCATTGGAACAAAACAACATAAACACAACATGTTAGTTCTCTCAATATTGAAATTGTACAAAGGAAATTTTGGTTGATTTCTAAAAAGTAACTTGTTAATGAAATAAAATGTTTATCTTGATTTTTATCTATTTTGGGAGGATTTTGTTTTAATTTTTTGAATACTTTTTTAAAATCAACCAAAAATTCCTTTGTATAACTATAATATTGAGAGGTCTAAAAACATGTTGTTTTTGCTATTTTGTTCCAACAAGGATCGGAAAGACATTTTATTTCATTCTCAAGAATAGGTAGAAAGGAGCAAAAACAATTGCACTAAAAAAACAAAAAATGTTAACAAAAACAGTTATATAAAATATTTTAAAATAATTTTCGCATTAAATTGTTGTCAATCAGTCAACATTACATAAAATACCGTGTTTTTTACAGAATGTTTTCAATGATTGGTTTAAGAGAAAAACATTGTTGAATTCAGTTCTCCATATCGATACCACTCCTTTAAGCACTTTCAAAATAAACTGAACAAATACATGGAGATAAATTTCATATTTCAACATTATTTTAACAAAATATTTTGATTTTGAAAAATGTACTTTAATACCATAAAGCTTAATTATTTACATAAAGTTATGAAAAATGTTACCTGCATCATAAATTGATGATATTTTTTGATATCATGAAAATACATCATAAGAGGGGGAAAACCCCAGGGTTCAGAGATGACATATGTCTATGATGTAAATGTGCATTGAGATGATATTATCACTGATTGGTCAAATCGACAAATAAATAACATCATTCAATGTTGGTTTCAAATTTTTTTATAAATGATTCGAATAATATTATGCTAATATTGGGGGTTTTGATCAATATCATAGCTTGTTATTTCACATCATTTCTTCATCTCTTGTAAAAAGGTAAAACATATATGGAAAGAAATAATGAACAAAATAAATGCAAAATTTGGATGCTCTATAAAATTAACAGAAATGGAAATTTTGCTTAAATATACAAATAAGAAAAAATATATTGAGAATTATGTAAATAATATTGTATTAATAACAAAAAACTGTATTAGCAAGTATAAATATGGTCAACATCCAAATTTAGAATACTTATTAGAACAAGAGCTATATATAAGAAAAGTCATGTGAAATTATTGTGTACTATATGTATGTAAAAATATTGTATAACTGTACTTGATAAACTGAAATAAAAATAAAAATAAAAAAAAAATAAATAAAAAAAAATTTCACATCAAGAAAGAAATGTGAAAGGAATATGCTAACAACATCTATTTAAACATCACAACAACGTGCTGTATTTGTGAACTAACTGGTGAAAATTCGAACAAACGAAGTTGGTAAGCAAGAGACTTATGTCTGTCATCTCCTAAGCTCTGGGGTTTTCCCTCCTCTTTCCATCATGCAGATTTAACTGAAGCAATATTGAATTTACAATAGTTAATGCCATCTATATTATACAAATACATGTACATCAAACAACGAATGGAATTATTCTAGAAGCATTGCTGTATTTATCATTTTATCAATTTATAGATGGCATATGTGTAATAATATATAAAAATAGACACAAAAATATCGCACGTTAAAGAGGAAAATGGCCACAATGTAAACGAAACATGCCCATTTCGTTAATAACGATAAGTGGTTTTCTTGGAACAAGATTTATCCTATGCCAAGTAGAGTTTAAGGAGATAAGCTGTTTAGATATATCCCGTATCCTGATTTTGAGGTTTCCATATCCAGAACCTCCATATCTCCCGCTTCGGTGCATATCTTTCTGCTTCCGGTAATTTCACTTCAACTGTGGAGTGAGACCTTAATCTAGTGTTATATTGTTGTAGAGACAGTTTTACATTGTTAAACAACACTTTTGTATTTCAAAAAGTTATCAATGTATTTAAAATTTAAAAATGGAAATGCAATAAAATGACTTTGCATATGAATGATTTGTTCATTTGTAGACCTTGTACTATTGAAATGGCCATATGACCCTTAAAACTCTACTTGGTATAGGATAAAGCAGTTATTATGTACGGTTGGTTTGGATATAGGGTTTATTCAGAGGGAGATATGCATATCTACCTGAGGGACCGTAAGGACTGAAGGTAGATGTGCATATCTCACGAGGGATGAACCCAAACCTCCCAGTACATAACCCTTATTTATATGCATGGCCCCCGACCATCTGCCTGCCCAGATACCTCTCCGAGGACAAGACAACGGCAACATAGTACTTTCTCAAAGTGATATAAAAAATATGGGCGAGAAAACATTATCTTATTAGTAACAGAGTGAGGACTAGCCTTGTAAAGAGGCTTTCAACAACAATTGACGGAAGAACATTAGGGGGCTCAGGAGGAAGTTTACACTAAACTCTATAGTGATAAACCCTGCACATTGATATAAAATACCCGATTTGAAGAGCACATTGAGAGTCTTGCATCAAGCCCTTGGATGCCCCATATCATACGTACCACGTGCTTCCCCAAGCCCATATACACACAAAGATATTTCATTGGAAAGGGCAGGTTTGATGCAAGACTTCTGTGTCATTTTAAAACATGATGTGTTGTTAAAGGGAGAGGAGTATCATAAAATGTCCACATTCATCTATAAAAACAAACCCATATTTTACGAAAACAACTTATTAATGTATTTCAGTAAAACCACATTCTATGACATAGCAACAAAATTTAATGCGTTCAAATTACTTGTAATCAATGGTGGAAACAAGCGATCAATATAACTACAAATAGCATTACTATAAAAGGCTGACACTTTTTTAAAGCTGATATCTTAACCTAGACGAAATAAAACAAAGCTATATGTACCTTCCTACAAGGCAGGAATTTATCAAAGGTGGATTTTTGTTTCCTGTATGGTATTTTCACATATCATATGGTACTTTCACATATCATATGGTATTTTCACATATCATATGGTATTTTCACATATCATATGGTATTTTCACATATCAATTAATCATAGTGAATTTACATATAGAATAACCAGAATTTGTGCAGTGTGCACTTCAATAACAAATCTGAGTGTTTCCAGTCGTGTGTCAGTTCATGTAACTGTACACTATAAATGGACCCTTTCTTAACTATATTTCTTAATTAATTAAGTATGCTTTGTAAATTCATATTTATATGTTAAGAAAATACAACTTTGAAATCTGAAATCATGATTGGACTTGTTCAAGACTGATACAAGGTTATATATGTACCTTTATAGATGTGATTTAGATCATTTGGTGGGAATTAAATGGAATTTTGCTTCATTGACATTATCCACCAGATTACAGTTTATGCAGTAAAAATGACTAAAACTTCCTAGGAAATTCAGTTTTCACTATTACATTATTGTATTAGTTTAATCTCTAACAATTTACAAAACATATTTCATTTCTTCATGATTCTCATATCTTACTTAGTACTTACATGATTTAGCTTTATAATAATAATTACATTTTAAGATCAAAATCTCCATAAATTTCGACCAAAATACAAGATGATCGCACAACATGTTGCTTTATAGTCAACATTGAGATCTATGCGTGGATTTCTATGAAGTTTTAAATATGTTTACAGTCTCATGCAAAATTCCACTAAACATTTCAATAAGGAACTAGACGCACTATCATACAAATAAAGCTTAGGCTCAATATGAGCTGTTCTGGAGATGTGCATGAGACTGGTTTAAAACCACTACAAATCTGCTGTATGCTGTTTTCAAAGTAAATATACAAGAAGACCCATCGTACAAAACTGAAAACAATTGTAGATCACATCATGGGCTTTGAATGAGTCCCCATGATCACATACAATTTATAAAACATGTTAAGGGAACTTCTCAAAACATGTGAATTAAATATTCATTCTCAAAATTTGCTTTTTTCAAAAGATATCACAATCTGCAAGATCCTTCTAAATTGAAGTGAAACTGTTATGAAAAGTAGCACATTTGTTACCATGGCAATAAATCTAAATTGAGAAGTTACCTTTACACTTGAAACAAATCATGCTGACTATTTACACTGACATTTATCATATTTACACTTTTTACATTTTCTGTTAACATATCATCTAATGCTATGGTGTAACATGAGCTTGATACGTCTTTGAGCATTTCCCTTAATAATCTTGTTAAATGCTTGAACACTTGGTCTTGAATGCACAATCATCAAGGCCATTTCAGCCTTGACGAATATTTCAGCCTTGATGATTTTTTTCTGGCTTGACGAATATCTCAGCGCCTGATTTTCTGACTTTTCTGTTCAACTTAAGAGTATTCATTTCATGCCTAATACATTTTATTCCCGATTGCTTTTTTTGATTTGTAATCCACTCGGTCACATCTTTAATATATCACAGATGCTCGAAAATCCCAATCTCATTCAAGAAATTTGTTACATTTACTCTATCCATAAATAATCTATGTACAATAAATAGAAAATTAAATTTACTATCATTATCTTTATGATTCTTAGACATTGTATCATTGAATAAAATGTTTACTGATAAAGGATTTTTTGAACTTTAAAAATTTTCAAAATTACCAAATTACTTGTTGGGATATATATGGGGGTATTTTAAAAAACTACATTGACAAAGAAGTCTGGAAGTTGCCATTACAAAATAACATATACCTCAGTTCATTTTTTCATAATATAAAATCGTGTCAAAAATGAAAAAAAATAAAACAGGAAAAATAGTTACATATCCCAAATGGAAATAACAATTTGGACTTTAGAAGTTAATGTACACCTCATGTTTAAGTGTGTTTTTTTTACTCTGTGTTGCCGGTTAAGCTTCCCAGCTATTAAATTTAGTTTCCCATCCATTAAGCTAGCTCAGTATATACTTGATCAGTCACATGACATTTTAGGGAATCATGATTGGTCTGAATTTACAATATGCAAATGACACTAAATCTAGTTGTTCCCAGAATGCACCATCCAAATGTTTGCTTGAGACGCCCTCTCATGGAAAGGGACAGGATTTTGACAAATCAAAAAAGGGACGGGGATTTGACGAACTAAAAATTGGGCTGTTGAAATTCCCTTCCAAAGAGCAACCTGGTGAGTCAATTTTCCCACCCTGGAAGCAATAATAGCTGGTCAAATATAGGCAGAATTTCCTCTTACTGGGAACAAGCATTTCAAAAATACATACTCCCAGGATGAAGTATTATGCCAAAATCCCATCCCCTGTGATAATACTGCATGGCAAATTCATGATACCTCCCAGTGTTGAGGGCTCTCATGCAACACTTTAAATGGTGCCTAAACATCACATGACTGTAATCTTGCTCCTGATTGGCTAGCTGGGGATCTCGTGGGTTGTGCCCTTATATGGATGGCTACATGTGCGCAAAATGCTTGCTCATACTCCAATGACTGATTTCGCCTCCATTGTATGTTATTATACAATATTTACAAAAATATCAACTATGTTCGACCTAAACCTGAGGTCAAATCTGAGATTCAGTCTTATTGGGTTCAGCTATACAGCAAGCGCCGTTCTGTGTAATTGTGGCAACTGCTACCTCTGTTGTGTCATCCAAGGGCATCTTGACCTCTCCATTTAGGGGCACCTTGACTTCTTCAAGGTCAGCATCATAATCACTCAGGAGGTCACTGGGGTCATCATTAGGCCTCAACTGGTGGGGATGCAACTGAGGTTTGATCAAATACTGCAAGCGCTGAAACATTAGAAATATTATAAATTCACTTTTTATTTCCATTACAAACATTCATTAATAATCATGAATTGCCAAAGTTCATTTTATTCATTCAAAAGATTTAACAACTTATTAATTTCCACAATTAGTCAATTTGCTGAATCAAAGAATCAATATGAAGGTCATCTGAATTAGAATTAGACCCTAAGAAACTATAACACAAGACACACAGCGACAAACATCGCATTTCAATCATTTTTATCTACCCAGAATATCCGAAACCTAATCAGATCTTGGCACTAGTTTGCTTGATCTCATCTGTAATATAAAGTTCAACAGGTAAGCAGTGTCCCAAGAATTTTGATGATTCATGTGATGCCCCCCCGACCCCCTAAATGCCCACTCAGACAGAGCCAGACATGCCCATTATCACAAGACAAAAAATAGCAATTAAAAAAAAGAAAAAAAGTTCAAACTCTCACCTCTTTGATTGTTCCCTTGGTCTGGGCTATCTTCAGTATGGAGATTATCGGGATCATAACAACACTGGTGCAAGCGAGAGTCCACCCAAAGTTTATAGCCCATTGAGGATACTCATAGGTACGGTTATAAGTCAGCTCTGAGTAACTCACGGCATTCATAACAAACATTCCCTGAAAATATGAATTTCATTGTCATATTGGTTTACCCTTCGCTGAGCATTGTCTACTCTCTAACCTCTTGAATATTTCTAGTCTTAATATACAATGTTTGATGTCCATAATTTGGAAATATATTTTGGAAAAATGCACAAATTTTATTACATATTTTCTGTAAAAATTCTTAAAGGTAGAGCCATTTTTGTAAGAGGTTTATCCCATCAGAATATGAAGTCGGAGAATCTTACAAAAACACAATAAAGCCCTAGTAGCCAACATTACATACATATCTAAATTCACATATTAGGCCACAAAAGCTGCATTTTTGATCATTGAGATCATAGTACCAAGCCATTAAATCAGCAATAACAATCAGAGGATATGTTGAAATTCAAGGTAATAGATATCACATTGAAAAACCATATAGAGTACTTACAATAGTGAAGATAGGTGTGACAAAGTACCAACAAATTTTCATGTAAGGGTTGATCTTGAATCCGTACATCATCTCAATGTTGTCATAGAAACGGTTGCCTCCTTTAAATAAAATATATATCATTTGAAATCACTAAATCACTGATAGATGAACTACACTTAGTATTGAATTACTACCGACCCCATTTTCCTAAAATAGAATGCATTTGCTGTGGCTGAATGCATCATTGGGGAGGTTAAATGTGTAATTATAGGTTCTTATTTAATAGCAACAATTTTACATGAACTTGGATAACCATGATTAATTATAAGATGTGGAAATCTTATCACATCTAAATGAATTCTACACATATTTTATATACATGTACATACCATAGATATAAGCAACAGCTATGACCTCAAACAGAGCAACAAGGAGAATGATTCTACTGCCAGAGTAGTAGTCAAAGATCTGGAACACGTACATGCCTCCCTGAAAAAACATTATCAAAACATTTTGAACATCCCCAGATGGTACTGAAGTAGAAATAGTAATCTAGCTAATTGGCAAGTATGTATGTATCCATACTGACATCATGTAACAAGGCATGATATCACACCTGACGTCACAGCATACTGACATAATGACATCAGTGGTCATGAAATGTTCCTACAAGGACAACTTCACGATGACAGATTTCAAATTTTTGAATTACTTTAAAAATGATATCGTCGTAAATATTTCTAGTTTATTATGTTGGTGTCCATAGTCAAAGCCATATACAATGGTGACCATAGATGATAAAACTACTTACATTGGTGACCATATATTAGGCAAAGCCACATACAATGGTGACCATAGATGATAAAACTACTTACGTTGGTGACCATGGATAGGCCGACAAAGAAGGAGAAGGCACACACGACAGCTATAAACATCTCCCTGTGATATCCTTTCTTCAACCAGGGGAAGATATCAGTCACAGCTGTCACGAAACCTTCTACACCAACGAACTGCAAATACAGATATCTTAAATTTAGAATATGTGAAAAGTGAATATCAACTTTAAGACAAGAGTCTCAATAATTCTATAGATCATAACACAGTATAAATTGGAGATGTTGGCCAAACTAAACTCCTTCTTTCTGCTCCATATACACGCCTAACGATCGACAAGGTACAGTGACAAAATATACCGGAGTACACTTTAGATGTACGATGTCAATATTTAACCGATTTGAAGCAAAGACAATGATGCAGGTGTGATGTAGGTTTTAAAAAATTAATCTTGGGAATACTTGAAAGATTTCATGTACCCCCGGTCTTGATTTCCCCCAAAAGATATTTGTGGAAAAATTCATTGCAATAACCAGAAAAATATATTCAATTAATATGACCAGTAGATAAAAAATAATAAAGTTACACTTCTCTCCAAGTTTGGCAACCTTAGACACGGGATGGGATTGTGTAATCATGGGAAGACCCCGGAGCATCATGACATTATGCAAAAAAAGAAATATCAATTATTTTCCAACTTAATTAAAAGCTGCTCCATCTCCGGTGAAATAAACCAACTGTCTAAATACTGATGAAAACACATTTTCTTTCAAAATTTTGCGTCTCCGTTTTGTTTTATTTCAAACAAAAAATTCTTGTTAAGTCCCCGGGGCTGATAAGTCCCCAAGAGCAAATATTAGATAATAGAAACATTTTCACCGTCCGTTTATGATCTAATCCGCGGTAATAAACATGTTGACATGACCACGAAATATAACTGATCATTTCAGTAAAAATGGTGACCTTACCCTGCAGAAATGGAGATAATGTTCCACAGCTATTTCTGAGGGCCAAGTCTCTAAGGAATTGATTTTACTTTCCAGGGGTAACAAATCTATACCTGGGCATAGTGTGGTTCTAAAGCCTTAGCGAAGTAACCTCCTTTGCTTACATTCGCCAAACCATAAAAAGATAGTTATTAAGTACAGATTATTTTTTATTTTCAATTTAAAGAAAGAACAAATAGATGTTTTCAGCACTAGGTGTTTTTTGTTGCAAGGCATTGAACTTTAAAAGAAATGAGGTCGAGCACTCTTCTATTAGAAAATGAAATAAAAATATATTGATTTGGAATCTTTTCAAAAAATTCATCTTATCTCAGTATTAAAGTGTGGGAATTGCATGTTTCAGAATTTGACATATCTTTGAATGAACCGTAAAGAATGAATTAGGAATGACGATTTCAAAATAAAATAGCTCGTTAAAAATAATCATGTTCCTTAAAGATATGTTAGGATTTGCCCTTAACAAAAGTTAGCTCAATGTATTTCATTAAACAAATGTTATATTAAAATGTATGATTTTGCCCCCAGATTTCAATATCTTTTCAGTAATAGATTCACCAAAAACACTCAATGGGGGTGTTACGGTTACCAAAGGGAGGGGTGCAAATTGTATGTATGACAAATACAAAAATGCTTTTATGTGAGGTACACAGATGAATGTGGAGATTTGTGGATAACATAAAAATAGAACCCCTGGTCACTAAATCCTGGCTACGCCACTGTGATCTATACTACCTTATTAAATATGACTTTTTAAAATCCCATTTATGATATATCTGGAAAGTTTCAATAGTTCAATCAAATTGAAGTAATGCTGTAATTGTTCTGTTTCAATCTTAAATGCATCTGACCCCCCTGTCTGCATTAGGGTTAACTGTGAATTGAGTAAGTTCAATGGGACAACGTTCATTCTTCGACACTCTTAGACGACTGAAGAACTGAATACAAAATTTAATACAAAAAGTAAAAACTTAATAAGAATGTCATTGTGTTGATATTGCCATTATCATATACTCATATTTCATTATTAGGTTACATTCATAAAACATCATTTACAAATTGAGTTCGTATCTGACCTTTGATTCATCCTTCTTCAAAGGACTTCATTTATGCTTAAAATACCCTTGCAGCAAGGATTCTTTGATTTGAAATTTGAGCTTTCTTTTGCCTTTAAAAGATTGAAAATGTCTCCATGGCCATGGCCTCGCATGAAATCTTGATGTCTAGTTATTAATTTTATGCATAAGAATTACAGGAAATTGGTACATAACCATATACATATCAGGCCCTTAGCCAGGAGGGGGGGGGGGGATTTGAACCCCCCTTGGACGAATTTTTTTTCAAAATTATGCAGTTTTCAACCATTCTGAGCACTTTTCAAGTCATTTTGAGCCAGAGTTGTCAAATGTGAACCCCCTTGGCAAAAGCTGGCTCTGGGCCTGCATATAATGGAAATTTCCATAATATAATACACAAGCTTAAAGTTAAAGTGCTCTGTTTGAACCAGTTGGGCTTTTAAAGAACATTAACATTGCAAAGAACATTAACGCTGTAATGTTTAATCAAGAAAATATAACTTTTGGCAAAAAATACAACAACTGAACAAACAACATTGAATACTGCCAACTCCTACTCAGAATACACACATGGTTTTATTCATTGTTGCTGAATGACAATCGCATTGGTATTATAAATTTGGAAAATATTTGTATATTAATATGGACTCGTCCAAATGTAACGTAGGATGACTAATACACCCAGCATCCCAGTGTTACTTTTTACTTAATTATCTAGACTCCTAACATAAATTAATAAATAAATATTTTCTATAATCAAGAAATATGACCTGAGGTTTCAGTTATTTTATGTCAAATAAATTATGGAGCCATATAATCTTGGATTGGCTGTGGATGGGGTGATGGTCATTATGAAACACCCTGTATATAGAATTTAGTGAAAAAATATTTGAGATGACCCCTAATAAGGGATTCATTACTAAAAGGTTAATGAACTTTCATTTAATACAATCCATACTAGCTCAGAATTTGAATGAACAATCTGAGTGATTACCACATTAATTGCAAATTACCACATTGATTGCAAATTACCACATTGACTGCAAATTACAACATTGATTGCAAATTACCACATTGACTGCAAATTACCACATTGACTGCAAAGACAAAGAGATTCAAATGGAAAACTGTACCCTTTAAACTCCACCATTTTGGAAAGTTAATTTTACAGAATCAAGGAATATTGAGACATTTAGCGCACTGTGTTAATGTTTCTGTGTTGAAAGAGTGCAACCAATTACACCAGAAAGTCATACTTTATATAATATGAAGACCTCCTCTGAGGCTATGTTATATTAGGTTCTACTATTGATTTTTATATAACCTTGTAGCGCTGCATTTATTAGCATACAGATCCCTGGATCAAAATGTCCGTCAATTCACTCTTTTCATTCTCTACGAAACTTGAATAAAAGTCTGATATTCCGCATGATGTAATTTTCAATATTTGCCAACTAGACTGTCTAGGGGGCAAGATTCTCACCTAGAGCCAGAGGTTCTATACTGATAAGGCAAACATCATTGAAACGAAGAAATTATTTCTCAAATAATTTTGAAGAATTCAGTGCTATTTTCAATGTGGTTCTAACAGTTCTAATTATGTTCAGGTACCAGAACCTATTATGACTAAGCATGTAATAACCAAATAGAAAATAGTACAGAATTCTTCAAAATTATCTGAGAAATAATTTTTTTGTTTCAATGATGTTTGCCTTATGAGTATAGAACCTCTGGCTCAGCTGAGTAATAAGCATGGTGTAATTTCCTTGTTTTGATAATTTTTGTTCTAATTATGTTCGTGGACAACCAGTACCTATGATTAACCATGTAATGTAATTTCCTTGTAAAGTTATAGACTAGACTCTTTATATGCATGAGCCTAAAATAGAAAGCTACCCTGACCCTCCATTCTCTAACCACACAACCCTCTCACCTTCACAGAAGATTTTACAGTAATGCTTTGATGTTGTTCATTCTTGAAAATCTCAAATGCAGTTGAACCTGTGTAGTGTGTACAATGAACACCTATATGAACACCTATATAGCCACAAATGTGTTCACTAGGAGGTAGGTGTTCATTACAGAAAGGATAATTCATACAAAAGTCAGTAGAGTATGTATAAATGGAGGATGTCACTTAGAGACAGGTGTTCACGAGAGAGGTGTTCACTAAGACAGTTCTTGCTGCATCATGTTCATGGCCTTTTATGGGATTTAGAATATGAATACTAATGTCTAATAATAGGTAAAATGCAGAAGTAACTCTGGTTGAAAGAGGGTCAATCAAGCCAGACTCTTTGCAAGGGTAATAGAAAGCCTTAAGTAACCATCAATTAGATTACAAACTTAATCTGTAAGGCAGGATAGGATTATACAACAATATGGTTTCACTAGTCACGATAAATAATAGTTTCTATATATATATGTTGATATTATTAAAATTGTGCAAAAATTGATAACCTGTCTGAAACAGCTCTATAATAAGATTACGCCACACCAAGATCAGGATATCCTTCCCGTTCAAAAAATGTCAATCATAAGGCTATTAATTCTATTTTTAGAAAGAAATGCATAAAAGCAGATGATTGATATAAATATGTAGAATGCCAAGGCCATGGTTGAGAAATAAGGATTGAAACGAGCCATAGTTTTCTCCTGATGACCATTGTATTTTATGGCCTATAGTACCAACTTTACGAATAGATGATGTTCCTATGAAAATCTAGTGGGCTGTGAGATTGGATTTTGTTTGGCCCACATCATTTAAGACTAAATGCTCTCATGTGAATTCTAGTTAGTATCCAAAACTGTTTTGATTTTGGTTGACATTTATTATTTATTCTTCAACATATTGTAATGTTCTTCATTAGGAACGAAATGTCCCATGGTCTTGGGGTCTTGGATAATCATATTGGTTCCTGAATAATGGGGGGGGGATAATGGGTCCACATAAAGTCTCTACCATCCCTTAAGCTCTAGATAAAGAGAGATAAATCAGAATGTGGGAAGGTGGAGGGTGGACAATTGTTACATGTTAGATCAGAGCTAGGGATGTTTGTTTTCCTTATGACTTATTGTTTTCATAAATGTTTTTTTCCTTGGCACTTGTACATATACACTGTACATCAGACCAATTTACTTTTCCATTTGATAACATGCTATCCATTGACATTTTTAGCAACATGCTGCTTTCTGCATTATCCAACATTCAATTATATGACTCATAGCCAACAATAGAGTGAATTAAATCATATGGTTCAGTGACACGTGTTGATTTATGAAGTGGTAAGGGCTGTAACATTCTCCATCGATTTTTTTCAAATTTCAGATTTAACCATTTTTGAGATTTGGCTAAATTTTTTATATTCTCTTAGCCGATTATGTTTTACTTTTTACATTTTCCTCTCCTCATATCTGGTAGATTCCCACAGTACAACAAATGTAATGGCTGTCATCGAAACTTGACAACACACCAATCATGTGATGACATACAATATGAGTGTTGCCAGGGAAACAACTCACCTGACTGTCAAGACCCAGTAAGATCACCATTATGAAGAACAGTATGGACCATAATGGAGCAATTGGCATCTGTGAAACTGCAGTTGGGTATGCTATAAATGCCAAACCTGGACCTGGAAAAATCAAAGGAAATCATAAAAATAAATTCATATTGGAAGGCTGTAAAAAAGATGAACGTCGTATTTATCTAAACCAGTCAAAAAATGCTCAAAATGCTCAATTTATTCAATTTTTGAAATATATAGAGATTATCCTATATGAGGTTCAGGATATTGGGATTATTATATTATATTGGCCAAGGGATAATCCCAATATCCTGAACCGACTATAGGATGATCTGTTTATCCCATACCAATAACATTGTTCAATTGTTGCAACCAATCGTGGAATTATTTTAAAATATCTCATGTCCAGTCTTTTATCCTTGTCCGTAGCCGGATTTTCCTGTTCAAATATTTGATTATTAACAGGGCATACTGCTCTTCCCTTCTCTAAAGCATCAAACAGATCGCGATTGTTTGCGTTTTTCTCCATTGTCGTTTACAGTATGCGAACGTTACAAAAAAGAACCAATACAGGAACAGCGATTATGACGTAGCGGGCAGATATACTATATCTGCCCGCTCGGAGCGGGACGTAAAGCTATATCTGCCCGCTGATGTAAATATAAGTTTTTACAAACCGGCTTTATGTACCCGTAACACGTCCAAGTATGGGATAAAAAGCAATATTCCTTGATTTCAATAATTCTTACCAGACTCAGCCACATCAGCTATGGAAACTCCCTGTTGTTTGGCCATAAACCCAAGTACGGAAAATATGACTAGACCGGCAAAAATACTGGTTCCGCTATTGGCACAAGCGAAGATAATACTGTCCCTAAAAAGCAATGAAGAAGAAAACGTTACAATTACATTCAATGCTCTCTAAATCTCTACGACGCAAATCAAGTGAAAATGAAAATTTCATAATAGGAAACTTGAACTTCTCTTAATCGCGCCCCAGAGGAAATAATGTAAAACTACAGTATTTATGTTAATCTTTTTATTAATTTCTTTGATCTTTTTTATTTGTTAAATTTTTGACTTGTTATTTGACATAGAACTGAATATAAATTGATTAAACTATACTAATTCTCCTAAACTGGTGTAGACTTTCTACATGAGCCAATGTCATCATAATTCTTCTCAAACTCCCATAATGCATTGCAAAAAATGCAGACGAATGAAAGTTTAAGTCACATGACTAACAAAATGGCTGAAGGTAGGTGAGAAATAAGACATGACATCCACACAAAGTACAAGCTAATGAGGTTTTGTTTAAGAAACAGGCGAATCTATAATCTGCTCGAGATATACCAGTCTCTCGCCTAGATTGCCTTGTGGGAAATTACCTCCAGGAATTATGGTGGAACTTGTTGTAACTGCCGAGTGCGGTCAACGCACCCAGACTAATAGAGTAGGAGAAGAAGATTTGTGTACCTGCGTCCACCCAAACCTAAACATGTGGAGAACAAACGTATAAAAACATGGCAGCTACGTTTTCGCCTCATTGCTAGCTCTCGGTCACTGTTGCTTTGGCAACTATAACACTTATGACATCAATTACATGTTATCTGCATCACGTCTTAAAAACATTCATCAATACTTTTGAATTTTATCTTTTGGATAAATGATTTGTTATCCAAATGTTTTTCACAAAAGACCAAGCACAATTTCTATTTATTGAAAATAACAGACAAATGTAAATAACATGCAATAGGTTCACAAGAGGCATTTATGGATTCTGGTTTTCAATACTGTTCCAGATAAATAAATGATGAATTTGAGGCAGACGAGTTCATATATTGTTGGCTGGTTTACTAATGGAAATTTCCATTAAGATTCATCCAATTTGACCTTGTATAAGTTCTATGACCAAAAATTAAAAGTGAACATGGTTACAAACTGGAGTGAAAAAGAAACCAATTGACCAGAAGTACAAAAAATAATCAATACTCCAAATAGCAAGAGCAACAAAAATATCAGATTGGTCAATAAGAGACAAATGGAATAAATGTGAACAAATATGTATTTCAAGCAAGGAAATATACAAATCAATATTATACTTTACTTGGGAGCAAATATTATAATAATGAGTACAGAACTGGGTTCAATCAAAAAGGCTGTATGAGCAGAGTTTGAAAGAAAACCAAATGAATGAAAAATTACAATGAAATACCCTAAATGTAAACATCCATTTATAAACCGAAATCTATTTTTTCTTTTGGCATTTTGTACAATAGAAATTTATACAAAATTTATACAAAAAATATCTGCTTTTATTATAATAACAGATTTATTTACCAACTATACTTCTCCACTTTAGTAATAATCTCAAATTACATTTTTTATGAAAAAACAAATGTTTTTGCTATTAAGATTAAAATCAATATGCTATTCCAAAAAGAGAAAACGCTATGTTTCAAATATGGGGTTTAACATGCAAGTAGCGTGATTACTTCAATTTGCATTATCAAGGTGAGATGAAGATCAACTACTCCTTCACGTCTCAAAATATATGATTTTACACTCAGGTGTAAATTATTGATGGTTGCCGGCTAGCAACATATTGCTTAGCTACCTGCCTTCTGAACAATCCAATTTTGACTTAAACTGTATTACCTATTATGAAAAATTCTGAAGCAACCAATGACACAGAGATTAAAATCAATCACAAAATTGCTAAAATTTTAATTTTACTCGCATGAAATTAATTAGAAAAGCTTTAAAAACAAATTAGAAATGTTCAAGTCTTGTTTTGATTGTTGTGTCTTTTTATGAATCTATAAATCTGTCAACTGGATGGGATATGGGAGTGTGACAGAGGTGGAGACCTTGTACACTTATATTGTCATAAACAACAATTGAACTTGTGAATAATTGAACTTTCAATGGACACAAGACAACTATTACCTAGCAACACAGACGTGCTTGATTATTCAAACCCAAAAAAGAGTTCATTATGAATATTTGACCAAAAAGAACATTTTAGGTCATACCAAAATTCACAATAATTCTTTTTCTTTAATAATACAAGCTCATTATCTTATTCATTCATCTTTAAACATTGAAGGAGTGAAAATAAAAATAGCTTTAATATAAATTGAAACCCTACATGAGTGAGCGTCATGTGACCTGGACAATAATTGGCTGATAATGGCACGTACGTGAATCAAACACTTAACAAGTCACTCATTTGACTTGAAATTACACCAGAGTAAGTTTTTTAATTTTTTGTACCAAGAGCTAGCAGAGAGTTATTTAAAAAGCCAGTCCCTCCTGAATGCGCTGAAATGTGAAAAAATCCTGCGTTAATTCTAGTCCTGCCGATCTGCAATTTTAAGGCCACTCCAATTAATTGTTTGTTTGACTGATTATCAACCATCAATATAATGGGAATTTTGTATAAAACAATACACAATTCACAGTAAACCTGTATATCTGAACACGTCTCTAATCCACAATTTTCTAGTCTAATAGACTCCAATGTTAAAAAATGAGTAAAAAATCTGATAATCTTTACATTTGCTTAGTTGGTACTGCACATGAAGTGTTCAGATTAGACAGGTAATACTTCTTTCTTACAATCTTAAATACTTATTTGAGCAAAGTTTATATTTTCTGAATTAAGATGCTGTTCACTAAGTGAAAACAATTTATATTAAAATGGCCTTTTAATATATGCTCACAGAACATCCTGGTGGTAAAAATTATCATCTCTAACCGGCTTACTTCATGATGAGATATAAATCTATTTAAGTTCTGGAATAGTTGCAACAAATTGTCTGTTCGTAGTTTTATTTTCGTTTTATTTTCGAGTACATGAATGAGCAATCTCTGGTTTATCGTTTTAGACATTAATTTATCATTTGATAGCAGTTGCGTTATCTTAGCCTATCTTTTGAAGTCAAGTGGAACGAGAGGGGTGCTTAAATTTAGTACAACAAATGAGATTAAAATAACAAAATATTCTAAATCATGAGGATTTTTAATGAAAGAAATATCACTTTGCTAAATACCACGAATGTCATGTGATGAATTTGAAAAATAAGAGGAAGAAAGAGAAATCGGGGAAAATAAAGCAAACAAATATTAAACACTCTAAATCATATAGAAATAGTCTTCTTAAACATGTAAATAGCATAAAAGATGACCATCGGGATTCGGGATGTCATACTTTTCTTAAAAGAAATGCTACAGATGAGATCAAAGTTTTCATTCAGTAATTGCAATTGGATTTGAAATAAAAGTTTCTAATTAATTTAGATATGGTTTTTCTCAAATTTCACAAATTCAATTTCTGAAAAGTCGAAATCAATCCAAATCTATGAATGTTTTCATATTGTAAATTAACACTTTAAACTGATTTCTCATACTTGAACTTTTCTAGCTATAAGGACCAAAGATTTCACTTCATCCTTATAACCTCAACTTTCTGCATACCTATGATTATAAATATAATTCTCCCTGGGAAAATTTGATTGAACATTTGATCTGAAATATTGATGATTATAACATTATTATATTCCACTCAAATATTTACCTCTATACTACAACTGGGAAATGTAATCAAGCAATTCTAATTAAACATTGACAGAGAAGTATTGATATATCCTTATTCTCTGCCAAGGCAAGCAGGACTTCTGTGAGCATATACAAGTTACAAAAACAATTTCTATTTTCCTAAAATCCAGTATTATATTTTGGAAACACTGATCATATTCATGGAAGTGAAATGAGAAAATTTACCATAAGGTGTAATTAGATCTTATAGTTTCAAATTTAAAGAATTTTTTAATTTTCTTCCATAAAAATGAACAATGGTGTAATTCGCAATTTTTCACCCTTTAAAGTGATTTTAGAATATCAAAAACACAATGACACAGATTTTTATAATTTGATATGAAACTGAATATGATACCATGAGATGAAGAATTGCAATACATGTATTGGCTAATTTCTTGGACCAATAAAAAGGGTGAATAACTTCAGCCCTGAGTACCAATGACAAATTCTTACTTTTTTAATAATAGATATAGGACAATATCAAATCAAGATCACGTCAAATTTAAAGTCCTAATTCACATATACAAAATTTTCTAACTTTTCATCCATAAATTATCAAGTTGATTTTAATCAACTTTTCTTTTTCGCAATTAACAATACCCCATCGAAAATGTTTCCCTACAGATCTGCATTGTTCTGATATTGCCCTTTAAAGTTAGAATGACATTGGATACAAAACTACATCATAATAATTTTTTGTATTATTGATCCTAGATTCTTCATTACAAAGCCTTGTTCAACTGTAAGCACATAATCTCGTATATTGTGTGTTACTCATTTTTCTATGACTCAGTTTTTCAAATTTTATCCTGAATTAATCAAACGATTCTAATTCGGCCAACACAACTAATTGAGATTTTCGCTATTAATCGACACTTTATCTTCGTTTTACTTCACGTGGCTTCCAGCTATATTTGAATAAGTCATTAATTAGAATACTTCAATTTTTATTTTTGCAAAACAGGACCTTTCGTGAGATAAAATCAAATGTAAGATGATGTACCCAAAAACAAGGCTTTGATTCACAATCAATGGCAAATATATATTTATAAGCAGATAGAAAAATTTTAATTCCTGAAAACTTCTTTCTTGAATTATCAATCTTATCAAGCTAATGTGTAAAGACATCTGATCCTTATAAGGACATCAACAAAATGGCTGACTTAGTTACCAAGGTAACAGTCACAAAAACAACTCACCAAGTCTGTACTTGGATTTGCAGGCCTGAAAAACTCAAATAAAACACACATAATGATAATGACATCACTCCCGAAGGAATGATGCCAACATAACCATGACAACATGATGATGTCATACAGGTGATCTATTAAAAAAGTTTCATCGAAACGATTTTCTTACCTCCATATTTAGCAATTTGGAGAAATCTGGAATCAGGTAGAATTTGACACCATCCAAAGCGCCATCTAGTGTCATTCCACGAATGAGCAGGATCGTCATTATGATGTAAGGGCTCGTGGCAGTAACATACATAACCTGCAAAATTATCACACAAATATAACAAAACTGCTGTTGAATAAGATTTTCTACTACATATGTTTAACTAGGCCATGTTAAATTAATACTTATTTAGTATTTGAAATTTACAGTTTATTTTTTTAAATGTCAGATGAATAGAGGTTTCCATTAAATTAAAAGTGAAATAAATACTTTGAAAATTATATGTAAATCAAGAAACTTTCTTTTTTAACTGTAAGTAATCTTTACACTCACACATACACGAAAATTAAGAAAATAAAAAAAATTCTAAAATAGTATCGATCATGCATGGCCTTTCTTTAAAATACATACATTACATAATGTTCAAGGGGGTCAAATTTAAAAATCTTTACACACGTTAGTTAATGAGTAAAATCTGAATTGGATTTATATTTTTAATTACATAAGGCTGCAAAAGACCAATTTAAATCATACAATCGGCTTCAAAAGGGTTAGTAACTTTATATACATAACTAATCCTTCGGTGGGAAATAGTACGTGACAATGGGATATATCATTATTGCCAGGAATCGGGAACTCACATAAAATGTCCTCATAGTCATGCTCTAAAAATTGAATTTTGTAGAAATAGGAACTGAGGAATATCTAAGTTAGGCTTTCTTAATTGTATAGCATTTTCCATGAATGAAGCCCACCATTTTTTAGTGAAAATGGCAATTTTTAGTAAAAAAAAGTATGACATGACTTAAAAATTCATTTCAATGTGTGGTTACACCATGTGGCTCTAATTCGCATATAGAGTCATTGTAACTCAGATGTTTGAGTATACAACAGTTCTATACGTGAATTAGGCACTTTATACACATTCCTGGCCCTAATGGCAATTCCCATGGCCCTGCACTATGGAACCACCACCTGAGGGTTTGTTGGGTATAAAACAAACTGTCGTAGGATCAAAAATGAATCATGGGCTTGAATATTCAAGCATGCATAAATGCATGAGGCCTTTATAATGAGCAATGAATATCATTGCTTTTACAATCTACAATAGAAAACTAGTAGGGTTTAATACAAAATATGGGCAAATACGAGAAGACCGAACCACCGAGACTTGGTTGAAACCAGAGCCCCCTGGTGGTAGGCCGTCAAACATTGCCAATGATGATCACCTTTCCCGACGATTTTATCCCCTTCCAAATGCAGAAGTATATTACGATCCAGGCCAGAAGTAGGCAAAGGGCTAGGTCCCACCTTATGGTTCCTGGCTCGTCAATTCCTCCGGAGATTTGAAGCACTTTTCTCCTGTTGAAGAAGTAGTGGGTAAATACTAGCAAACACTAGCAACAAGAGAAGTACATAAGGTGTCAATGCTACTGATCAATGGTCTGATATATACCATTCCAAAAAGCCACGATTTTGAATTTAAAATCAATTTTGAAATTTTGCTGCAAAAATGGCTCGGAGCATTATCGTAAACTAGCTCTCTGGAGCCATTTAACAGGTTGCCAATTTGAATTTGAAGTGCTCGGTTTTTGTAACGGCTTGGTGTACTACTCCTGAAAACACCGATCCAAAAATCAAGAACGTTTGATTTTTTAATTTACTGGCTGGTTAATATATCACAGTTTTACCATATACAGTGCAGACATTATTTACTACAGTAAGTAGAGAGCCATAATGATCAAACTTGACCGTTTCTTAAATTTATTGGTAATCTTTTTTTTTCAAAAACTTCAAGATGGCCATAAAACCGATTGAAGATTTTCATGTTTTTTTCAATGTTGCCCTTCAACTTAACACTAATTTATTATTTTAATTATATGATGTGTATTTGAACATCCCAAGTGCTGATAATCCAAACTATACGTGAATTTGGAGTACCTATGCTCAAAAACAATGAAAAAAACATGAACATCATTTTATCGCTAAATAGGCACCTTGTACAATAATATATGATTTATTTCATTGTGAACTACAATCAAAACATATTTAGGCTATCTACCTCTGTAGTATACAAATATGAAGTTCAGTTGCTAAAATGTAAAAATCTGATTTTCCCTCCCTGAAATGTATCAGTAGTTTTACCCCACCCTGTAGTAGTAAATGTACCTTTGCCAATGAGAAGCTTAAAGCCACTTATAAAGCTTAAATATAAAGCGAGCTTGCAGGGATAAATCAACACAGAGAAAGAAGTAACAAAGGAAAGTTAAAACAGAATAATAAATACCAATCGTTTTACTAGAATCATATTTTGTGCTGTTTAGATTTAGCTCCGCACGAACAGATCAAAGTTCGCTCTGAGCCATAAATGCACAAAACAACTAAAGAGCTTGGAAACACTTAAATGGAAAATTGTCTCACCTTCCCTTGAAAATAGAAAAGTATTATGACATCACTTATGTTATTTAACCAATCAGTGCATCACCGGGAATATTTATCAACACGATTAATGTTAGTTAAAAACAGATAAAAAGAAGAAATAACAAAAAATAACAAAGTTTTTTATTATTTAGTATCATGAGTCATGGAAAGAAAAGAGTCTGTTGTGTATGCGTGATGACGAGACTACTACATGCAACACAAAATTAAATAATATTGTGCAAAAGGGTTAAAGGACTAGGATTATGCTGTGCAAGAGCCTTTAACAAATATTGTGCAAAAGGGTTAAAGGACTAGGATTATGCTAAAGAGCCTTTAACAAACATAATGAGCTAAATAAAAACAATCAGCATTTCGAAGTAGCAAACGTAACCCACTAAACCCCAAATATCTGAATAATAATAAAAATGTCATTTAAACAGTTGAGCAATGTCAGGATTTCCCCTATAAACGTCTTTGTCTCTGACCTGACAATTCAAATCTAGATTAAAAGTGTAAAAAGCAGATATTAAGAAACTTCATATCCCATCAATCACTCATTCGCTCTCACAGTGGGCCACTGAGAATCCATTCAAGTACGCGCACAATCACACTTGGGTTAAAAAATAACAAAAACTTACTCCCAATATTCTGTCGCAGGGTCTACACTTTTGTTGCTATGGTTACTCGCCATGGGTAGAACAAACGAGACAGTAGAATTCAGCGCATCAGAGTATCCCATTCCGACTTCAGTGATATTAGTCGAGTTGGTCCCATTTGCTTCAAGGACGACAGGGTTAAGGAGTCCGACGCGACAATTTGGGGTGTTCCACCAATTGTCACAGTGACTCCATGGCAGGACCGAGGTGAATGAAGAGAATACAAAATGGAACGCCCAGCTCAATATGACATTGTAGTAGATGTTTAGCAGCGCAACAATGATCGTCGTCGCATAGCCAATTCCTAGAAAACATGAAAAAGAAGATTTTTTAAATTATTTCTCGATATTATAGAAACCTTGATAAGACAACCCTTCTTAATATGTCTCCTTCTGGACCTTGCAGATTCCTAACAGAAAGATATGAATGTCAATATATCACACAAAATGTTGTCCTTGAAACTCTGTTACTGTAACAGAGAATGCCTTTTCTTACCAGTACCAAGACACTACCTGGACACTTAACCACAAAAACTCGTAAGCTTAATGATCTCTGTTATTTCTATTGAGGATATGAAAAAAATACATCCTTCTTTTGACAAAAGAGCCCATTAGTAGATACTAATAACAGTAATATAAAAGACATCAAATATACATTATCAACGGCATGTTGATACAAGATACATATATATGGCTATATCAATCAATTTGGACAAACATAAAAATGTCTACTTCCTTAAAATACATCCTTGTTTTAAATGATATATTTATTCTACACCCGGTCTTCAAACAGCTTGACTACTGTAAAGTAGTGATAAAAATCATGACAAAAAATTCCCCAAATCTTGACAGTTAGACCTAAATTCACCATTCTGAGAATAAGGCTAAATTAAAGTCTCTGATGAAGTATTCTTTAAGAACTTCGCTTTTGTTATCTCCATAGGACTACCACAAGTTGATTGCAGAATGCGGCTCAATGCATGAATAAGGAAAGGGAAGACATGACATGGAGATACATTTGTAATGTTGCTTTGAAAGCCCTGATGCCGATTTATGCGTTTTAAAGGGACATTCCTTTCCAGACACTTTCTCTCCTAATATGGAAGCTATAATTCTATATACTTTCCATATTAAGCAAAACACAGGAAAATGTGTCAATATTGATTTAGTGCTCATTTCCACTGTTTTGCTAAAGATGGATAGTATATATGGTTATTGCTACTATATTAAGAGTCAAGAGAGAGATGGTCTTGCAAGGAATATCCCTTTAATGTATCAAAATGCAAAACACCTCTATGCCCCCTCCCTCCCTATTGACAGTATAATTATTTATATGCCATCTGTGGTGTTATAAAGATCATAAAACTAGAAATTATGTGATCATTCACTGCATAGGTTAAATAGTGGCTGATACCTGTAATATACCTTTAACAATTAATCAGTCTTTATAGATGCTATAACTGTTAGATATTAGTTTTGCTAGTATGTATAAAAGTGTGATAATGTGTTTTTGCGACGTTATCACCATTATACAGGAGACATCTCAGGAAACATCATTATTTGTTCTAATAGCTTTTATCATTTTTGTGCTTTATTCTTGTAACATTATTTTGTAAAGTTACAATCTTCTTGTGTTGTTTGCATAAATTTAGTACAAAAATCGATCAATCTTCCATATTATCATGTATATTTAAAGGTTTATTTCAAATCAAATACAACATTTTGACTTTTGGACACACATCTTTGAGGGAAGCTAGGCGAGTGCAAAGCTGGGTACGAGACCATGTTGACTTACAAAAATAACTAGCATTAATCGTTACCATGGTAACCAGACTTAATTTAGCTGAGAATCTTATCAGCTTACATAACTCAAGATTTCTTGCTATTTGATACAAACTGGGTACTGAACAGATCATTTCCTATGTTGCCCTTTGTCTTCCCTCTGTTCCTGCCTATTCTGCATGCCTATTCTACATGCCTATTCTGCATGCCTATTCTACATGCCTTTTATGCAGCCTATTCATACTAAGAAATGCCAATTTAGGCCTGGGGAATATGAGGAATAATATATGATGATATTGATACTCTCAGTCTAGGATCAAATGCTTGAATGCTAAAATCACAAGAACTGCAAGATTTTTGAATAATTCAATGTAATTTCAATTGCCGAGCATAAATCCTGTAAATTCAAATTTTCGTTCATAATTCTACTCCATTTGATACATTAAAACAACTTCAATGAAACAATATAGAAACGGATGGCCATTCTAATCAATATAGCCGATTCTCGAAGACAGTAGTGCCTTGATCTAAAGCCTCACTCAATATTAAGAAAATGGGGAAATTTCCCCATGTTAATATGCTAGTGTAATGTTAAACTGCTATTTGGATCATCTGATACATTATATTTTTTCTGCAGTTCATTATGACATCCTGACATCTGAAATTGACACAATGTGATTATAGTTGAACATACTATAGTTTGCTTTAACTGAATTTGGCCGACATTAACAGCTAGACAGGCAAACAAAACAGTTGTAAATCGTGTGAATGACATGACATTATGCGACTGCATATTTAATAGTTTAGTTTATGAATATTTCAACATAAAACAAAAATATATATGAATATAAAGTAAAGTAAGCCAAAATATAATTCCAATTCATTGCATTGCCAAATTTTAAATGAATTTGAGTATAAGTAATCAGGTTTTCATCTGACTACATGATAATTTATTTTATTTTCAAATGCTGACAAATAACCACTCTCCTGATTCACTTCCTACCTTGGTGGTCATCCAAGATGGCAAATCACTACATTATGTTAAATATGACACAACATTGACCAAATATTATTATTACAAAGCAAGCCAGGCTTTTCAATGAATGTATTACATTAATATTCCATGTATAAATGATTTAAAGCAAGTACTGCACATACAGGTATGTATGTATATAGTATACTGTCGTATTGAATGACTACTGTGGCTTTGCATGTATGTAAGTGCCAGTTCAAAATTAATTCAGTATTGCACTGTACCTGAAACAATGAAGCTCAATATATTCACCACATAAACAACAAAAAGGAATACAACCAATATTACAGATAATGACCAATTACTGACTCTGCTAATGAAATTCCTGGGAGACTGCTTAATCTGAGGTCAACTGTCTGCGATAAATGAACCCATTCATTCATCGATTTTGCCTATAGAATGGTCTCATTTGTTCTATTATATGCTATGTACTGGAGTATCGATTTATATGAATTATACTGGTATATTCGTTCATTTGCAAGCGGTGGCATTAAAGCATGATTGTTATATAAATGGGATCTGTTGCTCGGTTTAGCTCAGTATGCTAATAGATTTTATTGTTCTTGTAGATGGTATACAAGAAGTATTAACAAGGCATAGACAAGAAAAATATCACCACCTGCCATTTGTTACAGATGCTGACTACCAACCACCAAACACAACCACTGCCATCCACAAAACAAAATATTATGTCACCACTTGTGCCAAAAAATGGAGTCTTATATAAGCAATAATTATTAGATATCCTATAACCTGCAGGTTTGGAAAAGGAATATAAAGTTATCTAGACAGGTGGTCAATCATTAGATGCAATATATAGAAGAAAAGACTGTTAATTGGTTGAAATGAATTCAGTCACATCATGATAATTCAATATTAATATCGCACCCATGAATCAATTGCTAATTCACGCAAAAACAAGACTCATAGTTCAATATTTATCACAGCTGGATGAATAATTACGTTTAAATAATGTATTTAATATTTATTTAGATGTTTTAGGGCTACATGTAATGAATTGTCCACATTTAGGAAAAATGTAATTTGTGCATTTTTTGAAATAGAAAGACACATCGGAGGCATGTTATTTTAGATTACATCAAACAGCAAAAATCAGAAATATGGTAATATAGCTTATGTATTTAATCATCATTAAACATATAAAAGAGGGTATATGATGTTATCATTATCGAAAACGTATTGAATCCAGAATTGTTATCATCCCATAAATACATAAAACTGCAGCTGGTAGAAATCTCATTTTATATAAATAGGATTTGTGTTTTAAATAGCTCTCATACTAATCTCGAGGTACATGAAGTTGCATGAACATGAAGTTTGTACATGAAGTTTCCTGTGTGTGGAAATAGCTTTCATGAATAATAAATTGGATTCCTGTCATTTTCCATTTATCAAATCCTTTGCTAGTTGTGATGTTTCAAAACAGATGAGAGGATAAACAAGAACAGGCTGGTATTAGCAAGGAATAAAGTAAACAAAAAACACTCTGAATAAACAAATTCTGTCATTGGAAACCATGGCAACCATTATGAATGTAAATGTACCTCCTCCCATCCCAAGTTGGAACACAGAAAGTTGACAGAAACCAGAAAATCAGATACAGGAAAACCTTTGAATATAAAAGAGGTTCAGTGTTGTTCACTACAGCAAGGATTTGATTTCGCTGCATTTTTGCCATATCATTTAGAGACCTGTTATTTAACAAAGTTGGCAGGTGTTCACTATAGGTGAACTTTAACATGGAAGACAATGGGAGAAAAAGATTTTGCCAAATAAAAAGTTCACTGTTGATAAGGGTTCACTAGAGAGATGTGGTCACTAACTCAGGTTTTACTGAATAGTACTTACCAAAATCTTAAAATTAGTAAAATCAATATGTGACAAAGTGAAATTGTGAAGCAGACGTGTTTCAGCTTCCTGAATGACCCTGGGTCATTGCCTTTAGCAAAGATTACGATTCTATATTTACCTGCATGGAGAACAACATAAAAACAAACACCTAGTTGTCCGTCAGATATTTTTGATCTACACTCTGACGTCAATTAAGAAGTAATGCTATACATCTTTCCCGATTCTATATTTTGGAATCACTTGAGTCAATAACTGCATGCCTCTTTTCTCTACCTACCAATGGCATTCTAGCATTTATTAGCTCCTAAACATGTTTTAACACATGGAATAAAACAACTTCCATCGACCAAAACAAAAATTAAATAATTACATCAGTTTGATTGACTGATCATGATGTTGTTGCTTGTTTGATTCAATTGATTGTTTGATTGATTGATTGCAAATGCTGTGTTGATTGAAACATTTCATGGAATGCCAAGTCAAGTGTTGGCATTCATATCTCAATTTGGCAATTTTCCAAAAAAACATACTTAAATCAAATTCTGTTTTGTCTAAACAACAACTAAGAAACCATAAAATCTAAACAATTTTAGGTGCTTCTCAAAACATTCTGAAGAA